TCAGCAATATTGAGGCGGGTACAAATCGTTAAGTTACGTATACTGCCCATGCCCCCTCTCTCCCCCCATTTCAACTTTTTATAAAAACAAACCGAGGCCGAGGCGTGGCTCAATCGCCTGTCATCCAGCACTCTGGGAGGCCGAAGTAAGGCGATTGGCTCGAGGTCAGGAGTTTCGAGACCACAGCTGAGCAAGAGCGAGACGCATCTCTAACTAAAATAGAAGAAAGATTAATTGGCACCCACTAAAATACTATACTACCGAAAAAAATTAGCTGGCTCGGGGCACGAGCCCTGTAGTCCCCAGCTACTCGGGAGGCTGAGGCCAGCAGGGATTGCTGAGCCCAGGAGTGCTGAGGTTGCGCTGTGAGCGGAGGCTGATCGGCCAGCAGCACTCCATCTAGCCCGTGGCAACAAGGCCAGACTGTCTCAAAAACAAAAACAAAACAACAAACCAAATCCAGTAACTTTTCCAATGCCTTACTAGCAGGGCTGCCTCACAGGCCGAACCACCGTTTCTGAGGGGCCGGAGCTCTGAACACCTGGCCGGCAGCACGTCCCGGGGAGGAAGACGCTCCCGCGTGCACAGCCCGGACGCCACCCACAGGAACACGCGGAGTGGCACGCCTACGACGGGACGCTACAGGACAACGGAAACCTGCTGCCTACGCGCAGCCCTCAGCCGGTGGGTCTCACAGACTAACGGTGCGGGAGGCAAGAAGGCGCGACGCAGAACACGGGCTCCGACGAGTGCTGCCAACCAAAATGGCAAGCACGCAACAGCAAAAAAAACCGTGGGACGTGCATCTCGACCCCGACGCCTGCTCGCCACATGGGTGGCACCTGGGGACCTCAATGCTGAGGATGACAGTAACGCTAGGCGCACAAGGACATGCGACCCACAGCAGGAGGGCCCTAGGCAGTCGTGGGGTTCACACAGCCTGGAGTAGAGGGGGTTGCGCCCAGGGGCTGGGGAGCCAACAGGGAGTCAGGTGTAGCTAATGCGGGACAGAAGTTTCCACTTTTGCAAGATCAAAGGGTTCTTGGATGGTGTGTACGGTTCCACACAGTGTGAGTGTGCTTAATGCGCGCTGAACTGAACCACTTCACAAATGGCTAAACGCGTAAAACTTTTCATGTCGATCGTTTCATTTATCGCAATTTTAAAAGCTGCAAGCCACAGCCGGCGCGGTGGCTCACGCCTGTAAATCCCAGCACTCTGGGAGGCCGAGGTGGGTGGACTCAGTTGGAGCTCAAGGAGTTCCACACCAGCCTGAGCAACCGAGCGAGACGCCCCGTCCATCTCTCACCCAAAACTAGAAACGAAATTAATCGCCAACTAAAATATAGAGAGAAAAGGCGGTGATGCCATGGCAGGGGACGTTGTGAGAAGTGACTCCACGGTGCGGGGCTGACAGGACAGTCCAACCGGTCAGGGGATCCAGGTCAGTATGAGCGGTGGAGAAGTCACGTGGACAGAGGCCTGTGGTCCTCCCTCCCCAGATCGCATCTCCCCCGTCTAACAGAGAGAAACGTAGGCTGGGCGCGGGTGGCTCACGCTGTCATTCCCAGCCCTCTGGAGGCCGAGGCGGGAGGATCGCTCGAGGTCAGGAGTTCGAGGACCAGCTGAGCAGAGCGAGATCCGTTCTCTACCTAAAAATTAAAATTAATTGGCCAACTATATTAGAGAAAAAAATATCCCGCATGGAGGCGATTGCCTTGTAGTCTCCAGCTACTCGGGACGGCTGAGGCAGGAGGATGGCTTGAGCCAGGAGTCGAGGTTTGCTGTGAGCGAGCTGACGCCGACGAACCACTCACTCTAGCCTGGGCAACAACAAGACTCTGTCCACAAAAACAAACAAAAAACCACAAACACACAAACCAATCAGAAACCGGCCTGCACACCTTTCAAGGTCCTCCTTCCTTGATCGTAGCTCCGTGGGATTCACTGGGTGTTTCAACCCACCCCACCCGACGGACATCAGTGCTGTCGGACTGTTGCCCAGTGCCAGCCCAGGACCCCGCCCCAGGGACCGGCGTTCTTTCGCATCCAGGACCTGGCGGCTCAGCGAGTACCTCTCTCGACACCCGGGACCGCGACCGGCTTCGGTCTGCGAAGTTATTTCTGTCGCTATTTTCCGTGAGGAACCCTGGCCAGCCACTGGCTAGCCCACCGCTCAGTGGCTCTCACTCATGATGGAAGCTCTGGAAAGTGCAGTGCACAGTCCTCGAATTCAGAGCCGTGGCCGAGCTCCCCTTCCAAGGGAGCACCTGCTTTTGGTTTGGTTGCGCGAGAGACAGGTGCCCGCTTCACCAATGCGGAGACGGAATCTGGTGCAGTGCCAGGGTGTTAGTGTGGAATGTTCCTTAAAAAGTGTCTTCGGTGTGGCCGCAGGCGAGGCGGATACGCTCAGCTCGGAGTGTTGAGACAGCCTGAGCACGAGCGAAGACCCCGTCTCTCTATAATACGGAAGAAATTAATTGGCCCTAAATATATAAGAAAATTAATAAATATATGGAAAAACTTGCCGGGCGTGGTGGCGGCATGCCTGTAGTCCAGCTACTCGGGAGGCTGAGGCAGGGAGGATCGCTTGAGCTCCAGGAGTCGGAGGTTGCTGTGATCGCGAGGCTGACGGCCACGGCACTCACTCCTAGCCTGGACAACAGAGTGAGACTCTGTTCAAAAAGAGATATATAATAAAAAAAAGTCTTCGGTCTGAGGCAGAACGGAGGTGGGGACGGCAGCCAGACTCCAGGTGACCATGGAACTCCGACCCACGACCTCTGCAGCTCCTGGGGCGGGACTGCGGAGGCCGGGCAAAGGCTTCCTTCCCTGGCCTGGGTCCATCCTGCCCCTGCCTGTGGAGGGGAGGGGAGGGGGTGAGCGCATACGCATAGCTCGATGCACGCCAGCTACTGACTGCGACGTCCCTTCGCTGGAGTGCTCGAGTCCGCCCAGCATTAACCGAGGAGTCTCATTCTGCCTTACAGCTGGGAAGCAGAGCAGCCTGGGTGCTTGCCTGAGGCAGGCTCACTTGGCTCCTGAGGGCCAGGCTGGGCTGAGGACAACGGTGACAATCACTGTACTGATGACAGGGCACTATAGTTGCTCCTTTTTTTTTTTGAGACAGAGTCTCACTCTGTCACCCAGGCTAGAGTGCCGTGGGGTCAGCCTCGCTCACAGCAACCTCAGACTCTTGGGATCAAGCGATCCTCCTGCCTCAGCCTCCCGAGTAGTTGGAATCATAGGCATGCGCCACCATGCCTGGCTAATTTTTTCTATATATATATTTAGTTGGCCAATTAATTTCTTTCTATTTTTAGTAGAGACGGGGTCTCACTTTTGCTCAGGCTGGTTTCGAACTCCTGACCTCAAGCAATCCGCCTGCCTCAGACTCCCAGAGTGCTGGGATTACAGGCGTGAGCCACCGCGCCCGGCTTGTGTTGTTCACTTTAAACAACTAAAGTCCCCGTAGACGCCTCTCCCTCCTGCCTCCCCGTAGACAGCCCTAGAGCCACGTTCAGGTCCCTGGGACTTTTTTTTTTTTTAATTTATTTCAATTTTATTAAAAAGTTTGTCCGTCTCTTAACATATACATTTTACTGTATTACTCAAATAGTTTATTTCAACTTCTATTTATTTAATTTTTCCATTTTTTAAAAATTTCAGCATATTATAGGGGTACAAACGTTAAGGTTACGTATATTGCCCATGCCCCCTCTCCCCCCAATTCAACTTTTATCAAAAACAAACCGAGGCCGGGCCTGGTGGCTCTCGCCTGTCATCCCAGCACTCTGGGAGGCCGAGGCAGGCGGATTGCTCGAGGTCAGGAGTTCGAGACCAGCCTGAGCAAGAGCGAGACCTCATCTCTACTGATAATAGAAAAGAATTAATTGGCCAACTAATATATATAGAAAAAATTAGCCGGGCGTGGTGGCACATGCCTGTAGTCCCAGCTACTCGGGAGGCTGAGGCAGCAGGATTGCTTGAGCCCAGGAGGCTGAGGTTGCTGTGAGCGAGGCTGACGGCACGGCACTCACTCTAGCCTGGGCAACAAGGCCAGACTCTGTCTCAAAAAACAAAAACAAAAAACAAACCAAATCCAGTAACTTTTCCAATGCCTTACTAGAGGGCTGCCTCACAGCCGAACCACCGTTTCTGGAGGGCCGGGAGCTCTGAACACCTGCCCGGCAGCACATCCCGGGGAGGAAGAGCTCCCCGCTGGCACAGCCCCGACGCCCACCCACAGGAACACGCGAGTGGCACGCCTCACGACGGGACGCTACAGGACAACGCCGGAAACCTGCTGCTACGCGCAGCCCCTCGGGTGGGTCTCACAGACCTAATGGTGCGGAGGCAGAAGGCGGACGCAGAACACCGGGCTCCGAACGATGCTGCCCACGCAGAATGCAAGCACGGCAAACAGAACGTGGGACGTGCATTCGAACCCCGACGCCTGCTCGGCCACATTGGTGGACCTTGGGGACCTCATGCTGAGTGAGATGAGCTAGGCGCACAAGGACATGTGATCCCACAGACAGGAGGGCCCTAGGGCAGTCGGGGGTTCACACAGCTGGAGTAGAGGGGTGCTGCCAGGGGCTGGGGGAGGCGAACAGGGAGTCAGTGTCTAATGGGGACAGAGTTTCACTTTTGCAAGATCAAAGGGTTCTGGATGGTGGTGACGGTTGCACAACAGTGTGAGTGTGCTTAATGCCGCTGAACTGAACACTTACAAATGGCTAAAACGGTAAATTTTATGTCATGTGTATCTTATCGCAATTTAAAAGCTGCAAGCACAGGCCGGGCGTGGTGGCTCATGCCTGTAATCCCAGCACTCTGGGAGGCCGAGGTGGGTGGATCGTTGGAGCTCAGGAGTTCCACACCAGCCTGAGCAAGAGCGAGACCCCATCATCTCTACCAAAACTAGAAAGAACTTAATTGTCCAACTAAAAATATATAGAAAAAAATGAGCCGAGCATGGTGGCGCATGCCTGTAGTCCCAGCTACTTGGGAGGCTGAGGCAGGAGGATTGCTTGAGCCCAGGAGTTTGAGGTTGCTGTGAGCGAGGCTGACTTGCCACAGCACTCTAGTCCGGGCAACAGAGCGAGACTCCGTCAAAAAATAAAAATAAAATAAATAAAAAAATTCAAGCACAGAACACATCTGCGGAGATCAGAATGGCGGTTATCTTTGGAGGGTGTATCAGGGAAGGGGCACGGAGGAGCCAGCGCGGGGTGGGAGGGCCTGAAGTCTCTGTGCCTCGAGCTGGCCACACGGACAAACACGGACGCAATGACTCAGCGAGCCGCACACTTAGGGTTCATTCACTTTACTGCACGTAAGTCACGCCTCCATAAAAAATGTGTAAACAGGCCGGGCGCAGTGGTGGCTCATGCCTTTTATCCCAGCACTTTGGGAGGCCAAGGTAGGAGGGTCCGTTTGAGCCCAGGCATTTGAGACCAGCCTGGGCAACACAGTGAGACTCTATCTTGACCAAAAAAAAAAAAAAAAAAAAAAAGGTCAAACAGTGAAATTAAAACCAAACAAGAAAACCTTGCCCAGCTCCTCCCAGGCCGAGTGACCAGAGCCTGGGGTGGCCCAGGGCAGGGGGCTGGGATGAAAGGGCTTCAGGAAGGCCACTGGCTCAGCTCCCCACGGGTGGAGAACACCTGCTGGTAATTTTAGCAACTGAATAAAAGTCCCTGGGAGACATTCAAGCTAGGAAGGTGTCCCCAAGCACAGTGGTCCACTTCTGAGGACTGCCACCACCGCTCACTCTCTGTCACCATGGAGAGAGTGGGGCTGACCCTCCCCTCAACACTAAGGTGACCCTGGTCAGGTAATGAGAGCTCCCACTGCCCTGGGTTCAGGGTGCTGGACCCAAAGACTGAGGCCTGGGACCTTGGAGGGAACCATGGGCCAGAGAAGTCCTCTTTCTGCAGGGGAGGGAGGTGGGTAAGGTGTCAGGTTCCAGGGCAGAGGCAAGGCCGACAGGGGGGTTCCTGTAGGCTGGGGGTGGGGGGTAGTCTGGAACCCCATGAAGCCGGAAGCACACAGACTTTGCTGTCCTGGGGCAGGAGCAGCACGGCTCCAGTTCAGCCAGTGTGGGTTGGGTTTCCGCCACCTGCACCTCCCAGAGTCTCCGCGTCCAGCGCCCGGCTAGGGTTCCCATTTCCCTTACACCCCTCCAGCCCTGTCTCATATTTCCAACTACGGGTGACGGCATCCCACAGCCCCGGGAGGCCCAGGCTCCCTGCGTTCTCTCTGGGCACCTTTCACAAGTACCTAGGGCGTCGGTGCTTTCCGAACTGGAATTTGGGTGCCAGGGAGGGAACCCCCTCGCTTGAGTGAGGGGGAGAGCCAGAGGCCGGGTGGCGGTGGTGGGTATGCCTTACTGAACAGGATTGTCCAGGAAACCCAGACTAAGACATTGGGGATCTTAGGTGACCCTTTTTTTTTTTTTTTTTTGAGACAGAGTCTTACTCTGCTGCCTGGCTTAGAGTGCCCTGGCGTCAGCCTCGCTCACAGCAACCTCCAACTCCTGGGCTCAAGCGATCCTCCTGCCTCAGCCTCCCGAGTAGCTGGGACTACAGGCATGCGCCACCATGCCCAGCTAGTTTTTTCTATATATTTTGTAGGTGGCCAATTAATTTCTTTCTATTTTTAGTAGAGACAGGGTCTCGCTCTTGCTCAGGCTGAAACTCCTGACCTTGAGCGATCCACCCCCCTTGGCCTCCCAGAGTGCTAGGATGACAGGCGTGAGCCACCACGCCTAGCCCTTAGATAACCCTTGATTCTACCACCTCTGGCATAAAAACCTCCGGAGCAATAGGAGCACTGGGCAGGGCCGGGAAAGGCTGCTTCTGCTCCAAACACGGCAATGTCCCATGCAAGGCGTGTGCCAAGTGTGCTGTAAACCCCTCATGCATACACACACACACACACCTGCACGCTCACCCTGCTGCCCGGGAGCTCCCCGTCCAGCCACGAGACAGGACCCCCATATGGAGTGTGGCAGGGACCCCCCTCTATGGCCGCCAGCTCCGCCCCGTGGGATACGAAATATTTCCACAAACAGGAGGGCCGAAATATTTCCACAAACAGGAGGGCTGTTCTGGGTGGATGGAGTTTATGAGCAGTGGTGAAATGGACCCTGTAATCGCTGGGTAAACGAAAGCCAATTAACCTCCTATCTGCGCATCGATAAAGGCTGTTTTCTTTTCTAGTTAATAGGCATTAACTTCTGCCTGCGGGATCGGGGCTTACACAGCGGCGGCTCCTGTTAGCCCCAGGGGCGCGTGGGAGCTGCCTCTGCTGCTGCGTGCCTTCCACACAGACTTTGGTCACTAACCCTCTCTCGGCAGCCTCCACGGGTTAAACACACACAGCTACGTCCTGAAAGATCCAGAAAGTTCTATGGCCCATCACTGTCCTCCATTCTTGCAGACAGTGCTGCCCACACCTGTCACCAAAGGCCCTTACATGTGATCTAAAACCGAGCACGGCACCGAGCGGCACTCACACCCCCCTCCCCACTAAGAGGATGCCCTTCGGTGACTGAGCCTCACTCCAAAAGCCCAGCGTCCTGCCACACGGAGCCCAGCACAGCGGGTTGGCCTCCAAGAGTTACCTGCAGGCCGGGCACGGTGGCTCACACCTGTAATCCGAGCGCTCTGGGAGGCCGAGGTGGGCGGAATGCTCGAGGTCAGGAGTTCGAAACCAGCCTGAGCAAGAGCGAGACCCCGTCTCTACTAAAAACAGAAAGAAATTAATTGACCAACTAAAAATATATATACAAAAAATGAGCCGGGCATGGTGGCGCATGCCTGTAGGCCCAGCTACTCGGGAGGCTGAGGCAGGAGGATGGCTTGAGCCCAGGAGTTGGAGGTTGCTGTGAGCTAGGCTGACGCCACGGCACTTACTGTAGCCCGGGCGACAAAGCGAGACTCGGTCTCAAAAAAAAAAAAAGTTACTTGCAGGATGAGTGAACGGATTCCCTGGACCTGCCAAGTTCTGCTTTTGGCTGACTCTGCCGTGCTGGCAAACTCCTCTGCATCCTTCAAAGCCCTCCGACATGTCCGGGCCTTACCTCGCCCAAAGTTAGCTGCTCTGCGCCGCACCGAGCACTTCCACGGCTCCCTGCTGCACCGGGAGGTGCCACTTCCACGCGCCTCTCCCGCCAGCCCGAGGGACCCTGGAGGGCAAGGGCCTGGGTCACACTCAGTGTCCGTGTCTAGCGAGAAGCCGGAGGCAGGACCCCGAGGACAAGCGCTGTTGCCGTCCCATCTCCCGCCCTCCAGGCATCCTCTCCACAGACGCACGAATGGATCTCTTTGAGCGCTCTCTTGTGGGAAGACGGGGTCCAGCACTTGACCTTGGGTGTGTCACTAAGCGTCCCTGTGCCTCAGTTTCCTCACCTGTCCTTATCTTCTCGGGCTGGCACCACTCAGGTGGGTGGCAGGTGTTGGTGGGCGTCCTCCTCCCTGATGAGGAATCACACGGGGCTGGGATGAATCCCATTTCACACTGCCCAGCCCTCCTGAGAGTGCCTTTAGATGTTTCCACGCCCCTTCTCCAGCTGCCCGGTGTCACCACCTGGAGACCCTCCATCTCCCAGGCTGCGAACATCCATCTCCCACCTGTCCCCCCCCCCAGGTTAATCTCCCTGAAGTGTGAAACGGGACTTGGATGGTATCGCCCCACTGCTCATCAAAGAGGCGCTGTGTACAAGCACCTCCTGCCCGCCGAGCACGCCGCCCGTGCCATCACTGCCCTTCGGTGCAAGGAAAGGGCCAGCGAGACTCCGACGCTCAAGCTTCGCTGTCGCCCGGCGCCGACCCACGAGCTCCAGGCAATGGTGCTGCCCGGAGCCCCCAAACACATGCGTGTCTTGTCTGGTAGCCTGCGTTCTCTCGCCTGGGGACGCCTTCGGACCCCAAACCAGTTCTTCAGGGCCTGGTTCAAACGTTGCCCTCTCCGTAGCCAGCGGCTGCCCCACCTTCTCTGAGCGAAACCAGCCACCTTGCTAAGTAAGGCCTGGCTGGCAGAAGTTCGTGTCCACTGATCATGCTAGAAGTGGGGCTTGCCACCCCATCCCCTTACCCTGGCAGAGTGGCCCTGTGGGGAGACAGCCCTACAACGGAAGGGACTTGTCCACAGCAGGAGAAGGGCAGGGTCTTGCTTGTTCCCCTGGAGCTGAGCCCTTCTTCCAGGTGTTTCCAGGACCACCTGCCCCAGGAATCTGCAGGGACATTTGTGCAGGACTCCTGAGCCCCACTGTAGACTCGACAAGTCAAGACTGCCAGAGGGTGGAGTTGGGGAACCTGCCCTTTAGGCAGTATGAGGACGAGGCTTGCTGCACTAACAAATCCGGTGGAGCAGGTGGGTCTTGGGGCAGTGCTGTAATTCAGACTTGACTGAAATGTACTTGTTCACGTTTTGGACTCAACTCAAGGCAAAGGCATCTGGCCTGGAGATGGTGCGACAGCTTTGGCATCTGTCGCGAGTTTTGCTCTGTCTGTGTTGGGATATTTTATCTTGGAAGCCTCACAAGTGCTTGTCAGAGGCTCTGAGCTCAGGTCTGCTGACTGTGCCTGGCCCACAGCCGCCTTGGTGTGAGCCCCTCCCTCTCTGTGGGCTTTGCACCAGCATGGTGCACCAGGTCTCTGGAAGCCCCCTCCCCCATGTTCCCCAGCCTTCCCTTGGGTCCCACAGTGTGTCCTCCACTATTTTTTTTTTTTTGAGACAGAGTCTTGCTTTGTTGCTCAGGCTAGAGTGAGTGCCATGGCATCAGCCTAGCTCACAGCAACCTCAGACTCCTGGGCTCAAGCGATCCGAGTAGCCTCAGCCTCCCAAGTAGCTGGGACTACAGGCATGCGCCACCATGCCTGGATAATTTTATATATATATATATTAGTTGGCCAATGAATTTCTTTCTATTTATAGTAGAGACGGGGTCTCGCTCTTGCTCAGGCTGGTTTCAAACTCTTGACCTCGAGCAATCCACCTGCCTCGGCCTCCCAGAGTGCTAGGATGACAGGGGTGAGCCACCACGCCTGCCCCCGCTGTCTATTAACAGTGACCTCCATATTAACCTCGGATCTCCTGGAGCCTGCCTCGGCCCCCAGAAGCAGACCACAGCACCCCCAGCCTTTTCTCAGGACTGAGCAGTGCAGAGCACTTGGTGGTCTGATGTGTGTCCATGTCCCCCCCACCTCCTGTACCCCGGTGTAAACAGGAGGAGGATCACAGGACCAAGCTCGCAGCCCAGAAAGCCTGTGCCAAGGGGTGGCGGAAAGCAAAATGAAGATGTGCACCCTCACTAATCTGGGTCCGTGCTAGCTCTGAGCAGGCGCCCCCACCTTCCAAAAGGGAGGCAGGTGGGTGAGCCAGGGCACAGGATGCCCAATGGGCCACCTGGAGGGGCTGAGAAATGTGCTCCCACCCCAGTGGCCTCTTCTTCCTGAAATAGCAGAGGCACCTGGAAGACAAGTGCGTCCCAAAGTTGTGATGGAAATGGAGGACCAGCAAGTGCAGGGCCTGAATGGTATCATCCCGAATTCATGTCTCAGAATGTGGCCTTATTTGGAAACAGGGTCTTTGCAGACGTAATTAGTTGAGGACCTCGGGGTGAACCCATCCTGAGATTTAGGGGTGGGCCCTAAATCCAGTGACTAGTATCCTTAGAAGAGGAGAGCTAAGTGTGGTGGTGCACACTTGCAGTACCAGCTACAGAGGGGAAGCCGGGTGGGAGGGTCACTTGAGCGCAGTGCCACTGCACTCCAGCCCGGGCAACACTGCGAGGCCCTGTCTCTAAAGGAGAGGACACACAGACACAGAGACAATGCAACACAAATATGGAGGCAGAGATTGGAGCGATGGGGCCACAAGCCAAGAACACCAAAGATCTCCAGCAACCACCAGAAGCCAGGAGAGAGGCATGGGACGGGTCCTCCCCCCAGAGCCTCAGCAGGAACCAACCTACTGACACTTCGATTTGAGACTTCAGGCCTCCACACCAATAATACATTTTTTTTTTGTTGTTTTTTAAACCACCCGGTTTGTGGTAATTTGTTATGGCAGCCACAGGAAACAAATACAGAAGGAATCCAAGACAAAGCCTCCATGTGCTGGCCTGTGCCTTGGCTGGTGACCTGCTCATGGCCTTGAGGCCACCATCCCCCTCCCGGGACTGCACAGGCTGCTTGCTGGCAGAGTCCTCAGTAGAAAATCTGGCTTCTGTAGAACTTCATCAAGCCCCTGGACTCTGAGCACTTGGCCCAAGACAGTTGGAGCAAAAGGTGCTCAGTGAAGAAAACAAATGTTTTCTATTTTAAAAATAGCACAGTTGGCCGGGCCTGGTGGCTCACGCCTGTAATCCTGCCACTTTGGGAGGCTGAGGCAGGAGGATTGAGCTCAGGAGCTCCAGATCAGCTCCAGATCAGATGAGCAAGAGCGAGACTCCGTCTCTACTAAAAATAGAAAACTCAGTGGGTGTTGTGGTGCGCACCTGTAGTCCCAGCTACTCGGGAGGCTGAGGCGGGAGGATCGCTTGAGCCCAGGAACTTGAGGTTGCTGTGAGCTACGATGATGCCACTGCACTCTACCTAGGGTGATGGAGTGAGACTCTGTCTCAAGATAAATAAATAAATAAATAAAAATAAAAATAGCAGTGACCAGAGTGGAGCCTCTTGGGGACAATGTTCTACTTGAGCTGGGTGTTAGTTTTATTAGTCTTTACATCTTCTTTCTTTTCATGTGTACATTCTATACTTTTTTTTTTTTTTTTGAGACAGAGTCTCCCTTTGTTGCCCAGGCTAGAGTGAGTGCCGTGGCGTCAGCCTAGCTCACAGCAACCTCTAACTCCTGGGCTCAAGCGATCCTCCTGCCTCAGCCTCCTGAGTAGCTGGGACTACAGGCAAGCGCCACCATGCCCGGCTAATTTTTTCTATATATATTAGTTGGCCAATTAATTTCTTTCTATTTATAGTAGAGACGGGGTCTCGCTCTTGCTCAGCTGGTTTCGAACTCCTGACCTGGAGCAATCCGCCCACCTCGGCCTCCCAGAGTGCTAGGATTACAGGCATGAGCCACCGCGCCTGGACATGCTATACTTTTTATGAAGTAGTATTTCATACTTAAAATAAAAAAATGCAGGCTAGGTTAGATGATTGATTGAGGCCAGAAGTTTGAGACCAGGCTGGGCAACATAACAAGACCCTATCTCTATCAAAAAAAAAATTAGCCAGCCATGGTGGCATATGCCTGTAGTCCCAGCTATTAGCTACTTGGGAGGCTGAGGTGGGAGGGTCACTTGAGTTCAGGAGTTCAAGGTTACAGTGAGCTACGATCATGCCATTACACTCCAGCCTAAGGGACAGAGTAAGACCCTGTCTTAAAAAAAAAAAAAAAAAAGCAATGCTACTATGCCCAGCTAATTTTTCCTATTTTTTGTGAAAACAAGAACAAAAAAACCTCTCCAAATGTCTAACTGCGAAGATAGAAGAGATGGACAACACACTAGATGACAGGTGGGAAGTGGTTTGACCTTGGTATGACAACACATTCCACCTGGCACCATTAGTGAGAAACTGCGGACAGCTGGAGAGACCCTCAAAACAGTTTCCCAAACAGATTTAACATCTGACTCGTCTCAGTCTCTTATGATACCCTCATCTTTCTTTGCCTAGGTCCAAGTGGGAAAAAAAAAATCAGCAACAGCTAAATAGTTCTTTTAGCCAATTGTTCTTGCCAAGGTACCTTGTGCCAAAATCTCTGTGCCACCACGGCCCCCTGCCACCAGGATGAGCTTCGCAGAAGAGGGACTCAAATATTTCTTGAACTTTAGTCCGATTGTGGTGGAGAAACAAGTCTAATGTTTAATCCCTACCCCCATGAGCCAGAACTCCTAAAGGAGGGGCAGGACACACAAAACAGATGTTCAAAAGGATCTCTTGTGCCATTTTTAACATATCAGATCGGACAGGCCAGAACACTTGGTAATAACTGAGTTGGCATCAGAGGAGGAAGCAGGCTTTCCAACTTCACAGCTGAGAGGAGGAGGAGAAGGAGGAGGATGTTAACCATTTAAATGGACATGTTCTCTGACCTGGCCACTGCTGAGAAGCCCCTGTAGTCAGATGTAAACTCCATGAAGAGCCCACACACGTTCACTAAGTATTTGGTATTTGCTGATGTATGGATCTATATCTATTCACTGCAGCTCTGTCTGTCAAAGCAAAATATAGGCAGCAGCTTAAATAGCCATCAGTAAGGGACTGGCCATAGAATCCCTATGTCCGTTCAGTCAAGTCCAATGAGAATTCAGCAGTGGTTTAAAAATGGTTGGGGATATCCACTTGCCCACCCCCATCCACTCTCTCTGCTGCCTCAGTCACAGGCTACCTCTGGAAGAAGACACGAGAAATTATTAACAGCAGGTGCACCTGGAGAAGATAGGGTACATGCCTGGTTTTTACTGTATGCCCTTTTGTAATGTTTGACTTTTTTTTTTTTACTATATACATCAATTACCTTATCAAAGTTTATACGTATACACACATACACACAATATATGTATATATAAAAATATGTACCTGTACACATGCACCTATGTATAAGTGCATATGTGTACAACACACACCCACATGCACACACATATAAATTACAGATATACATGCTCATATATGTGTTAAACAATCCCTTTCAAAGTAGGGCACAAAAGCCCAGTGGCTTCAGTTTCCATAAGATAAGCTGAATGTGACATGACCCTCTGGCACATTCTGGCACCATCTCTGAAGGGAGAGATGGTGGGGCGGGGAGGCAAGAGGCGCCCTACAAGCCTTACAGGAAACGACACATTATTGCTTTTCAACAACAAAGCCACCAGGCTCCTGTGCTGCACACTTGCAAATCAGACTCCAGGGAACTTGAAAAGTTCCAGAAGAATCATTATTCCCAGCACTACACCAGGCTCCAGTTTTGCATACTAGCTTTAAGCAGCTGAAACATGAGCTCATTTCACTCTGAAGAGTGAAATTTCCTTGCTCTCTGTTTGGCGGCTTCAGGGGCCCAAGGAGCTCTCAGAGAGGGCCCCCCACCCCCACCCCGTGTCTGCGGGAGCCCTGAGGTGGGGCCCTGGCCGGAGGCACCCCAGGTGTTGATCCCCCTCTTCCAGCAGCTCCTCCACCCCCACCTGGCCAAGGGCTCCAGAGACACAGCTCAGCAGAGGGGCCATCCCTTCCAGCTAAGCCTTTCAGGACCAAGTCAAAGTCACCACTCCGGAGAACAGCCCGAGAGGGTGGAGTGTGGTTTCCCTCCCTGGCCAATCCCTTGGAGGTAAACAAAAACAGACCGGCAAAAATGGGGGAGGTCTAAAGAGGAGGGTCAGCAATGCCCAGGAAGGGGTGGGCTCTGCCTCCAACATTCAAGTGGATGTAGGTTTGTTGCTGGTAAAATGCAGATAATTCTGGCTTTGTCTGGCTGATGGGATTATTCTAAAGTCCAGAAATCAGTCGATACTGTCAAGCACTGTTAGAAATTAAAAGAGGCTGGGCACGGTGGCTCACGCCTGTAATCCCAGCACTCTGGGAGGCCGAGGCGGGAGGATCTCTCAAGGTCAGGAGCTCCAAACCATATTGAGCAAGAGCGAGACCCCCGTCTCTACTAAAAATAGAAA